ACAAAGAATTGTTGAATTGGTTTATGGTAGTCAGTGGTGCTTTAGAAAGCACTGCTCCATAACGATCCTCTCACAATTTGTTCTAACTTTACGTTTGAATTATATAGTATAGCAATTTGATTACTTAAATTATATATCCATTGTTAGTAAATGGATCACCGTAGCAATACCTTATGGTTCTTAAGCACTTAAGCAATGATAATATCAGGTTATAATGAAGACGTGGTCCCCACCGTTATACTAGTGGGTATACAATTTTAGTTTTCCCTACTAATAACGTTAAATTACAATTATTTACTTTCATTCGAGAGTTTGCGAGTCGTAAAACACTTATTTGATAGCCAATAATTAACTTCTTTTTACAGTTTTATTATTGAATGGGAAACTGAAATTAATCAACCTACTTTCGTTCAGTAGGCTACTCCCGGATATAGCAAGAGAAAACGATACGTTTTTCAAATGTGCTTTTATTGATTAAAGAAATGAAAAGGAGAGAGAATCGCCAGAAAAAAATGAAATAATTGATTCACTCAATCGGTTAATGTGAAATAAATGTTAAGAAAATAGTTCTTTAATAGACTTATCACAACAATAAATATAATATTACTAATATGGTAAGTGGGCTTGATTCTGAACAATCCCAGTGATGCTATGTTCTTTTTTTCATATTTACGATATGATTGCTCATGGGGTTCTGTATCAAAAACTTTTAAAAACTGCATCACTTGATTCACTGAAAGCCTTGACCTATCAAAAAATAAAAAATAAATCATATTGCAAGATGAATAGTCGCTTGGGGAAATGAAATGTCTACCGGTAGATTCTGTTGTATGTCAAATTATTCCGCAAAACTATCATATTGTAACGACCGCGGCGGTTCCGCACGGAATGGAGCAGGCTGGTGACTCGGGAGAGGGGTTAGCCGACACATTTATTAACCAAACAGTGGAAAGGTACACACACAGGGATAGGGATTACAGCGCTGACCTCATCACACCGACACAGGAGGGGGAAAAGGGGAGCGTTTCCCAGATCCCGTCCCCCTGTCTACAGTCAGGTAACCTCAGCTCCAATACATGAACACGCCACACTTTGTGAGTTTGCAAAGGAACAAGTAATACAATAATACAAATTAATTCATTATTTCAGTTTGATGAAAACCTTGATCTTATTAAGCAAATTAAGCCATATTTGTACACTGGTACACTTAGCCTCCGAGAGCTCAAAGTGACCGACAAAGCAGGAAAGGCACAGAAGACTAAAATAATTTGGCCTTACCTTAGAAAATGTCTCCGTGTTGCGAGTCGTAAATATAATTAGGACAAATGCGAGACGCAGTATAAGTTAACGCATTTCTCAATTGGCGTATCGCGGATGCTTAAATTACTCAGAAGGAAAATAACAAACAGTGTCATTTTATGCGCAGTATGAACTGGTACGAACTGATACTCCGCCCTTATAATTTTTTTTTCAGAGTCAATTCAATTCAAGATATGTTATTGTCATGACCAATGAATAAATCAGTGTTGCCAAAGCATACACAATTAACATAAGATCTACAGACATCTACAATATAGACACATCACATTATTGTATCGCATACGGCCGACATTACAGGTTGTGCGAGCCGGTTTACCAGCGCCGTTATGTCACAGTGAATAGCAGGGTCCTCAGCTGCTGGCTGACGGGAGATGTCCCTTTAGCTCAACTGGCTCAACTGGCTGGGTTGAGTGACACAAGTTGCCCAAGTTTAAGTCCCCAGCGGTGGGGGGCGAACCTGAGGCGGCAGCAGTGAACCTGAGAGGGCTACATTATATTTACATACAAACATAATGTATGGAGCATTATTGAGAGACAGGCTCACTGTTCCTCAAGCTGGGACAGGAGCTCACATACTGGGCTGCCAGTTCAACTGAGTTCTCCCTCCCTGTCCCAGTAGGATTGGGAGCTGTTGTGAGTCTTTCAGGTCTGGGAATTCTGGGGATTAGATTTGTAAATTTGGTGAAGAATGTTTCTCTAATCCCAGAGTATCTGTCACAGTGCAGTAGGAAGTGCACCTCTGTCTCTGTTTCTCCCCGCTGGCAGTGGGAGCACAGCCTGTCCTCTCCGGGCAGCCAGGTCTGCCTGTGTCGCCCAGTTTCTATAGCCAGGTTGTGGTCACTGAGCCTGTACTTCGTCAGTTTCTGTTTCTTATCTTGATCAAATATCTGGCTAGTTTATCTTGTCTGTTTAAGATTCTGTGAAACAAAACTTATTTTCCTTTTTTTTTTCATTTTTCCATTACAAATTACATGAGATACTTGCAGTCGCTGGTTTCACATAATTTGTTTGGCCCAGTCACTGGCGCTTTTCTTGTGTACAGCATGTACAGCATATAAAAAAACATAATTGTTTGTTGTGTCTAATGTGTACTGTACATTGCTATGTGGACAGGACCGTTTCAAATGCTTTGTATCAATGTAACTGCAATCTGGTATCCTTTCCCTATTTTCACTTTCTTCAATCACTGTGAAAAGCATATCTCCAGTTTGTGAGGGGACGGGCAAGCCCAAATATGCTCTGAGGGTGAGGGGGAAAGAACTTTCCCAGTTGTGTGAGTTGCGTGCTTGTTTCCTCCTTCACTGCTGACGAGAACAATAAAAGGGATCTGTTGTTGGTGTGTGTTACATTGTGCGTACCACGTCAACAAAGGCTTGTTTTTTCCATACATAAGACAGGGAAGCACGAAAGAGCGGAGACAGTGCTTGTGGGAATGTTTGTCTTGTTCGGGCATGCAAATCATTGTAATACGCATGTAAACATGAAAAGCAGAGTTGCGCGTTTACTACAGATTTCCACGGCACATGCACACTTTCAAAGGAAATTCAGGTTTCCAAAGGGCAACCACTTCTATACAAAACCTGTCTTAACACATAGACCTGTTTTTCATTTGCGAAATGGCGGTCTAATAAGCTTTTAAGCGTTTCTTGGGTTTGTTAATTGCTAGTGACTTCATTAGGAAAAAAACAGCTTTAGGCTGTGAAATGTTGGGAAACAATGCTATAATATATACAGTTAAAAATGACCTTTTCTGTGTTGCAGGTATCTACGTTTACTTCTTTATCTAGGCAGGAGGAGTTTGAGGGAAATTCAAAGTCTGTGATCCCCTTATTTTCGATTACATATTTCCTTGCCATCTTATTTTCGATCGTATCTTGCTTGAGGTAAGTGTTAAGTTTTTGAGGTTAAGAGACAATACGTTGAGATTTTTCATACGTATTATAGTACTTAGATAATCAGAGTAATTAATGTCTGGATTTTAAAATAAGAAATAAATACACATGAATGAAGTCCTATCAATGTTATTCTGAATGGCACAGCTGTTGTTTTGTGTGTGGTGCTGTTACAATTATCAAAGTTGTAATCAGAGCATCATAAAAAAACACCGTCTTTGTTACTTTAATAAAAAGCTCAACTATTTTCTAAAACTGGTGACATGAACACAACAATGTTTACACACAATAAAGGTTCCAAATGGGGGAATTCAGTCCATCTAGCTTGATTACTTGTTGCGGTGAAGAGCTTTGAGGATCTTCTTCACTCGTTTCGTGAAAGAATGCCTTCAAAAACATGTCAGGACTGCTTGTTTCAGACTCCCACAAACCTTTGTGACAAGAGGTGCACCCTGTACTCTAAATATGCTTCCCCTTAGTTTCCACTTTTGTCCACTGGTTTGTAAAAACATGCCATTTTCTGGCCAAAAAGCTGTTTAGCTGGACAGTCTAAAGAGAGTCAGGTTGTAAGTAACATACGTCTGTTATAAGGCTGTTCTCGTTATATTGTAAATTGGGACTGCCCATCTTCTCCTGGATTAAGGTTTACCCCTTTCCAAGTAGTTGAAACCACCAGCTTCAACAGAAAATAGGAATGATTCACACATCGTGTTATTATTATTAAGATATAACTGTCAGTAAGTCATGAAGCATTCAAATTAGTACGGTAGGAAAAATGCTCACTATAAAGGTGAATTGATTATGTATACTACTTATTTAGGGGCATCTCTGTTGACACTTGAAGAAGAAGAATAGTAATTTTGGAAATAAAAGCTTTATTCACGAGCACTAGTCAAGTAACTAAAAAGGCTCTTTTCAATAAATGCCTTTTGAAGACGAGCTGTCGATCCTGTGCATTAACTCTTGGCCTGTTTGAAAGTTCTTAACTAATTTTTTCCTTTTTTTATTTTATAGGTTTGACTGTGTAAGGAATAAGGCCTGGGTGGCGTCTGTTGGGGTGATCTCAGCCGGCCTGGCAGTGCTGTCTGGTTTTGGGTTGTTGCTGTGCTGTGGTGTGCCCTTCGCCATGACTGTAGCCAACTCTCCCTTTTTGATCCTGGGTAAGAACGTCCTTACAGTATGTCCTTTCATTCCAGGTTCCACTGA